CACATTTTAGCTGACAGTTAGTTATTGGCGACTGTTTGTTTCTTTTTACATATAAACACAGCGTAGATATTGCCAGGAAAAAAAAACAATGTTGGAATGAATTTATGGTTGCAAGACTGTACTAGAACTTCTAAAACACCGTAGTAATTATACCTTTACTCTTCAAATAAATAACCTGTACTTAACTTTGTGTGGCTGAATTCAAATATTAAGATAGAAGTCATACAGGTGTGAAACAAGCAATTTCCACCCTATCCTGTAAAAATACTACACATTAGCTGTAAAGCTATGATTAATCATAATACTGTTCATCATTCCAAATCAGACTCAGTGACTTTTATAGACATCTGTTTTCTTTCACATTTACCACATACATGGATGTACGGTCACTATTACAGAGATTTGACTCATCGAAAAACATCACAAGCCAACCACTAAATCAGTGAGGAATATGCAGTTCATCAGAAGCCATGAATAACATAAGATCCATATGGACTTGGGCAAAATTACTGAATTTGTCAGACCATTAGGCTCCTTGCACACTACCTTCCTGGAGATGAGGTGGTGCTCAGCAAGCAAGCCGTCTATCAGCGGGCAGCCACAAAGCTTGGGGAAGCTGGTGAACATAACTATCTTCTACTCATTCGAAATGAGGGAGCAAAAAAACACTCCTTTTGTTTAGCAATAAATACAATAGAAGCTACAGGCTAAAGCACGAATCAGCATGACAAGGTTGGAGGAGGAGCTGGGCGGTGCAGCCTGAGGGATCTTCCCCAGAGTCAAATGCAGAAGCAGGAACTGGACTTGCTTGTTATAAGAACTACTTCTTTTCAGAAGAAAAAACCATGCAGTAACACAAGAAGACAGTGCAGAGATGGGTCTGCAGAGACTAGTGAAGACAGCAGTTTGACACTCAAAGAAAAGCAGAAAGCTTTTTGGGCAAAGTGATGGCTGCTGGAGGACTTGGAACTGAATGAAGAAGGCTGTTCAAAGAACTTAAAACTAATGGAATATTATTTTAATTAAACAAGAATGTGTAAAGGACATATCTGACAGTTATCACAATCTCCTCCCTGCAGTAGCAACCTGTGAGGCTCATGCACAGGGTGTCTACTAGGGCGAAGAAGGAATAATTCGGAGAGTAAGACCCCATAGGTCTTTGCAAAGTTAATGTCAGTGGGGCAGAGAAGCTTCCCTGACACACTTTCCTCTAAATGACCTCTTAGCGTGTTCAGTAAGGTACTCTCCAAGGAGTAGAGCTACATGACTGTACCTGCTGTGGCTGAAAACACTCAGTGGAGAGGGTATTTCGAACCCGTGCAGGAGAAGAGAAAGCACACTCACTGCCAGCTAGGCACTGAAGAAGGCCCCAGCCATCAAAAAAATCCTGCTTGCACTCAGGATTTGCCTGCAAGAGAACAAGCCCATGGCAAGCCTGAGGGAATAGGGGCCACCCTGGCAAACAGAATAGTGCTAATCCCAGTTGTGATCAGGGATACTACAGCTACCTTGCCTGCCACAATAGGGATGTGCTCTGTTAGAGCCAGCAGGATAGTCAGTGGAGCTGCTGCTCCAGCCTCCACAGTGCCAGTGGTTCTTTCTGCCATGAGAGAGGGACTGGGCTGCAAAACTGGGACGCCAAAGACACAGGTAATTCATACCTGACCATTCCTGCCACAATTCTCCTGCCATTACACGTCTCCATACTGTATAAGAGAATGGAGCCAGGCTCTTCTCAGTGGTGTTGATCAATAAGACAAGAGGCAACAGGCAGAAACTGACACACAGCAAGTTCCCCCCAACATGAGGAAGAACTTCTTTACTGTGAGGGTGACTGAGCACTGGAGCAGGTTGCCCGCAGAAGTTGTGGAGTCTCCTTCTCTGGAGATATTCAAAAGCTGTCTTGACACAATCCTGAGTAATGGGCTGCAGGGGACCCTGCCTGAGTAAGAAGGTTGGATAAGATGACCTCTAGTGGTCCTTTCCAACCTAACCTATTCTGTGTTATACTTCTTGACCCAAAAATGTTCTCACAGCAGAAGGAGAACTTGACACTGAGCATACGCTTCAATTGGATCTGCTTATCAGGGTTCAAATCTGAATTTGAAGTGGGAACTCCACCCTTGGAGTACTCTTCTCTCCAGAGAGTGAACATAGTTATTATCGGCTCTGAGGCAACCAGCTGGTGCACAGCAGCAGAGGGTACCTGTGTACATCCCCTTTGGGGCATCATATCTCTCATGTCTTTCCATGGGTCTAGCCGTTATTTTGTGCAGTTTGTGCTTGATGCGGTTGAAAGACTCTCACTGACTTCACTAGGTTTAGATCAGATATTTGATGGAAAATCGTAATGGAGAATGATGGACTAAAGGCAGCAGGATTTAACAAGCATTTTCATGAGGGAATGCACAAGTGCTACCTGCTGCATACCAAAATGACCACATGAGGTGCATAAAGTAGAAAACAAACTTCTACCTCCAAATCTCTATTTTATCTCTGAATTTAGGTATTTTAATCCAAGAGACAGAAAACAAGCTTGAATTTCTTTTCTCTAGCTTCTCCTACTGACATTTCCCTGAATTTCTCTCCTATGCATCCCACGCTATGTTATCTCTCTTTGACCCCAGTCAGAGTAGAGTGCTGGATACCTAATTTTAAGTTGTTACCTTTGTGATGATTTAGTGCCATAAGTTTCTTTCCGAACAAGTTAGGTTAATGTACTTATACCAGAACAATGCTATACAATTTTTTTAGAAAACACCTATTTGACATTTAAGCTGTGTGCAATTGTTGGCAGCCTACTGACATAGCAGAGACCAGATTTGCAGAAAACTGCCTCCTCCTGCGGATCTTCCAAAAGTATCCCATATTGAGCATATTCAAAAGAAGCTCTGAACATCTTCTGAAAGTGGAGCAGTTATGAAGGAAAGGAAAAACAGATTGGAGTAACTAAAGAACATAGAGAGGGCAAATAATTTGTACTAAGGCAGTCAGGAAATCAGAAGCCTAGAAAGACCATGCAGAAAACTGGCTGTATTCTGCCAGTGCTACTGAACAATACCCCACTGCATGGCTTTTTAAATAGTTTTTAACATTTAGCTCTTTTTAAACGTGTAATTGTGTTGTGGATACTAATTTCTTCAGATCCAAGTATAATTATTCTTCTAAGTATTTTGTCCATCTCTATTGTAAGCTTTTCTTAAGACAGCTACAAAATATTGCTAATATTTTTTAGTTAATAGTGTGTTTAGAAGGTCATGTCAGGTTATTGCTGGGAGGATTAAAAGATTTACTTTCCTCCAGAGCCCTTTATTGTAAGAAAGCAAGGAAATTTAAAACAGGATTTATTCCTTCGAACCAGGACAAACCAACAGAGTACCGTGGCAAGAGCATGAAGCAAGAGCAGTCTGGGCCAGGAAATTTACAAAGAAAGCTTTCTTCAAACTCAAAAGTTAAGCTGAAATTTTAAAACTCTTAATGGTTCTACATTAAGGGCAGCAAAAGACAACTGATTTCACAGTCATTCCCACTTGCAAGTCCTTTTTCAAAAGATCCCTGTACAATAACTGGTAAGCTAGTGGCTGTCACTAACATGGGTACACATTCCTGGCACATATAAACTTCATTTGGTACTTGTCAAGCCAAGCCCTGCTGGCTGCTCCCACTGCCACCAGCAGGAAGAAAGGATAGTGATGAGCATCAGTTCAGTGGAAAAACAGGAAAGATTGGCAGGAAAGAAGAAAAGAAAAAGGAGAACTTGGAAAAGTTTGGTCTCAGATGTCAAAACAAATCCACTGGCAGATATGATGGATTTTCCCAACAGATGTTACTTAGAACTAAACAAGACTCTCAGGCCTTAGGATCGTGTCTGTAGGAAGTTTTAAGTAGATGTGCATCTTTATGTAAGTGCTGTCATTATATTAGTCAACTGCTAATATAGAGTAATGATGAGATCCAGGGTGAAAGGAAGATCAATTAAAGTGGATGTACCTTCTGACTTAGTTTAAATTTGGAATGCATCAGCCCTATGAAGTGATTGTGGATGTCTCAAAATTTATTGCTCAGAATGTAATGTATTTGGAATACTTCAAAACCCAGCAAATCCTACCCTTAACAAGACATCAGGTATCGTGGTGTTTTCTGTCCTTAATCCTTTCCAGTGATCTCCCAGATACACACAGCTTAGACCTTGCTTTCTACAAACACCTTGTCCTGAAAAAAGTCTACTTAGATTTTTTTTCTCTCAGTCATTAACTTAGCATGACATTCACTTCTAAATGTTGCATCAAACTGGTTTTTTGAGCAACTGAAAGCAAGATCATGGTCTGCTGGAACTGGGCCTATAAATATCCTGACCATTTCCAAATAAAAGTGTCATGCCATAATAGATATCCTGAAAAAGAACTGATGCAACAGCACCAACAGAAATATTTATATATTGTTTTTAAAGACTGCATCAACAGGTGGCTTTCATCTACCACACAGTGTTGCTAGCTTAGCTACTGCAACATTTTGAACAGATGTTTTTAAACATCATCAATAGTATTACTCTAGAATTTTCTCATCAGCATACTGCAATGTCCTTTCTGGTGGGCAGTTAATATATCCTGCTTCCATTGGTTCATCTAAATGATAGTTCACGGGAGGATGAATGAGCTGACTTCTATTTGAGATGACAGCTTGATGCAGCATTTCAAGGCTTAACCTAACATGCCCTTACTTGAGGTCAGCCAGCAACCAGTCCCAGAAAACATGTTTGTTAGATGTGACTGAAAACAGTTTAGCACTTGCATTAAAGTAATAATTAAACATGAACAGTGTGCCTTGATGTTGTTTAAATGAATGACACATTCCATGCCCAGAGCAGTTTTCAACCCAGTTCTGTGACAGACAAAACACAATAACTGATCCAAGGAAAAATTAATGAAAAGTGTACCAAGAGGTTAAGTAGCTATCATTCTGACTGAACCATATATTATGGTGTCACTTGTATAATATACCTCGACAAAGAAGGTGGAGCTCAGTTGCATCCAGCATGCCTCCACTAAAACAGCTGGCACGAACCATCAGATGGGCTTGTTAGTAGTTTCCTCTTGAGTGCTGTTATATAAGCATGGGGACTGCAAACAAAAAAAAAAAAAGAGAAACAAATGGAAAATAACTAGACAAAAAAATTCAAGGAAAAAAGTATTTGTATGCATCTACCTTTGTAATTCTAGCCTGGACAGAAAACGGAAACTTCAGTTTTCCCTCAACTGGGTAAATTCTCTAATTTAAAACAGCTTTTCACAGAGATTTGTTTTCACAGTTTATATCAGCTAGACATCTCCCAGAAACCCAGAACAAGTGATACTGTTGACATGTCTACCAAAAGTTTCTTTTCTCTCTCTGAATCATAATGCTGAGCTGAGAACCCTAAGCCAAGTGACTCTACATACACACCACGAAAAACCACTGAGGAGTAGGTGAGCTTTTGGAGAAATAAACTTTTATTTGGGTGTCTAAGAGGAACTGTGCCTTTTTCTGTATGAGCTGGAGGCAGCTGCAAAAATGGGCCATGAACAAACAGGTTAGGATTCCCAGTCAGACCAGAGTGCACTTCATATTGAACAGTACTTAAAATGTGGAGGGGAAAAGGAAATCCAGGGAGCAGTGCAGTGGCCATGTCCTAATGCCCCTAATATCTGATTGTGTGCGTCAAAGCAAAGGGAGACAGAAGAGGCTCAGCAGGTGCAAACGCTCAGGACAGACCCTACACCTCTCCCGTGCCACAGAGCAGGAAAGCTGCCCTCCTCCACCTCCCCTGATGCACTTCAGAAAGGCAAACCCATGCTGCTGCAAGTAATCCCAGCACTCAGAAACATTATGTCTTTCTCAAAGGTGCAAGCTGTGAAGCCCTGGATAGACAAAGAAACTGTGCCTGGATAGAAAGGACTATCCAAACAGACATTTCGACCCACTGAATCTCCAGATAAGCTTCTGCCAAGCTCAGTTCCAGTTCTCGTAGCAGAGATCCATCTCATCTCACTTTGGGGGTCTGCACCTGAGGCTCATAACAGGCAAATGGGTCTCTTCCAGACACACTTCACTTGGCCTACTTAGTCATTTTCCAGAGATGCTGCTTATTCTAAAAGAGTGTCCATTTCTCCAGTTAGAGTTATAAGAGTCTAAAAAACTGGTCCAGAAGCAGAGGCATAATTACCTAACTGAATCCCAGTCTCTGATGTCTTCCTTTACAAGTGACATTCCTAAGGTAACCACTTCCAGGTATAGTCAGAAAGGGCTTCCCTAGCCTTCAAAGTGCTTCCCAATTTAGCATTTGTCAAATGAGGCTCCTCATTATGCACAGAGTTTAGGCATTTAGTTGAGAAGACTGTACTAGAAAGGCTACATTCAGCACTATAAAATACATTTCTTGTGCATCTAAGCTAAATTCAAAAGGGGACCGGGCCACAGAAACTCTACTTTATACCTGGTCTGTGCCATGCAAGGGGAACTAGCTTGAATGGACAAGAAGAAATGGCTCAGCCCCAGACAGATGATGAGGTTACTGTGCCCAAGTGTCCCCCTCACCTCCCCCTGCACTGATATTTGAGCTGTTCATAAACCAGCTGCTGAACCACTGGAGTTACTTAACACTTTAGGGTGGGGTAAACAGCTAGAGGTGATAACCACATTAGCTGTCTCAAGCTCACAGCAACACATAAATCAGTCAGAGGCCTCTAGGCACACTGAAATGGGATACACAGACACCAGCAAACTAAGCAGGAAGCTGCTTAAGCTAGCCAGTGGGAAACACAAAGGCAAGTGCAGTATAAGATTGCACACACACACACACACACACACACACACATACACACACACACACACACACATGCAAACACGCAAACACACAAACACAGATACAAACTTACAAACTATTTTGGAAACTGTACTCTGTAACTCAAACACCAGGACATTCATCAGTCTCAGCCTTGGTTTTCTGTTTTTCCTGTGGTGACAGACGTTTAACCTACATCTTCCAGAAGAATGTCAGTCACCGAGATGCCACAGCAAGTTCCCACTGTCCTGCCCATCATCCATACATACACACCTTTTTATTTTCTTCCTTTTTAAAAAATACCCTTCCACTTTCTAGATGTCTATTAGTCTCAAGGGACAGAAGCCTACCTCTCCTTCCTCTGTAGTAAGTGTCCTAAAACAGATTTTCTAGAAATCATTCTTTTTTTTACCCTCTGCATACTGCATAGGGAAAATACAGCGGGAATATCAGTAGGAGGGCACCAAGTACAAAAACCCTAACACTGAATAGTGTTACAGCATTCTCATGGGTAAAAGGTCCTTTCGTCCACCGAAACAGGTGAAAAAATCTCAACATCTCCTGACTGAAAGGTAAGAACTCTAAGGAATGTTTGATTCAACATCACAAAACAGACCTTTTTCTGATGAAATTGTACATATTCTTTATACGCTTTTTTTTCTGTAACCACAAGTGAGACAGAAAAGAAAGGGGATGAGAACACATTTGTCTCAGTTTCAAGCTGTGGGCTGCAGAGCCAGGGATTGATGTGGTCAGGACACAGGCAGGTGGCACAGACTCAGAAACAAGAGTGATAAGTTCTGTAGATGTTTTACTAGCAGAAACTAGCCCAGAAAGAATTGGCATAGGGGGAGAGAAGGTAGATGGGAAAGCAGTGAATGTCAGTGACACCTAGTGACATCCTAAGTGTTAAAGAGGCATTCAGATAAAATTCAGATAAAATTAATCTAGACCATTATTTATGGGGGTTTAGTTGCCTGCAAAACTAATTGTGCTATTCTGCCAGAAAGCTGCCTATGTATGGGAAGAGATGGAGAATTTCAGCCATCACCTTGTCTGCAATGATCACTTATTTTCTTGGAACAAAAGCAGCAGCCATAATGGACAGGAAAGTAAAAATATTACGCCTGTTGATACATTCTCTTCATATAGTTTGGAGAGCACTTCCCCTCTTCTTTATGCTCAGCACTGGCAGATAATGTGACTTCCCTCTAGAACCACGTGCACTGTGTGTACGGGTTGAGTACAACATTAACCTACAGAGCCATTCTAAGCAAAAACACATAAAAGAGAAGTGTACTTAAAAATAAAGTCACAATCATGTACAGTACTCAGCGTGCTTAAACAGTGCACGTAATACAGTTCAGAGTAATAACCACTCACTACTTGGGTTTCTAATATTAAGGAAGATATAGAATGGAATTAAAATTCAGTCTGGAGCTAATTCTGGAGTACAGCCAGCCTCATACAATCCATAATGCTTCCTGTGTCAAAATTATGTGTCCCATTGTCTTGATGCCTTGATCAAGGTTTCAGAGTTTCTCATTTTTCTGACATGCTCAACATTAACAAACTTACAGTCAACATGTGTTTATCTAACTGCACCGTCACTGAAGTTCTGCTCAGGAATCTACTCCTTTGCAATTTTTTTCATCAGCATACGTAGTAATGAATGCTGTCCCTGTATAGCTAGTTCTCTTCAGCACAAATTAAAGAGTCTCTTGAAAAGGTAGTGGAAATGGAAACACGATTGCAAAAGTTCCCTTCACTTGCAACCACCCTACCATGTTACACTCTTTACTTATAAGCCTTATTCATCAGTTATTGATGAACTGACTACAAAAAAGTACCAGTAATACTTAGCCCTCTTGTAAATAATCCTAAATCACAGAGTTCCCAGTAATCATAAAGGTCTTCAGAAAATCAATAAGCATCCCCTTGTCATATACTTAAGCTTCCAGGTTCAGGTTTTCCATTTGAACTGAAATGACATATTTAATTTCAGTTGCTATTAAAGGACTTTTTTTAAATTATTTTTCCATTTCCTTTGGTTATTTGCATGGGAGAATCAGAATGACAGTATGCCAGAGTGTATGTAATACAGGTAGAGTGCACAAGTGTCCTGCATTTTCATAAAGTCTCCCCTAATCTTCTGAAAAGCCACTGAAATAACGGGAAAAACTAATCCACATTATAACATAGTAAACCTTCTTAAGATTATTAAGTAACCTCTGCACTCCTGGTGGGGCATGGGTTCCTCCTTCCTTCAGCTATAAGCTCCAGCCAGCAGATGGTAGGTTCTCTCGACCAGAAAAACAGCAATGTGCACCTGACAAGTGAGGAGTCTTGCAGAGGATGTGTGCAATGACATACCTGCCTCCCCTGGTGTGTGTACCAGAAAGTGGGGGATTGGATCCAACAAGATAGGAATGCATAGTTAGAGACCTCCAGTTCTTAGACACTGAATACATATGAGAGCTATGATTTTTGAAGCCAAATTCCTATTAAAAACAATAGAAATTTGGGTGTACAGATCCCTTAGTCTCTGTCCAGCCAAAGCAATTCCTCTCCCCTCAGCCTCTAGCTGCTACCCATTGGTTAGCGCTGCTGGTACAATTTTTTAGAAGGATTTGTTGCACAAAGAGAAAGACTTATTAAAAACAGAAAAAGAATGTGTAGTGCCTCTGTAGCCAGAATCATAGTTTAAAAATCTGTGGGCTGGATTTTCCTGAGTGCTCAAAAGATCCAAAACAGTTATAAACCCATATGAACAACCTAAGCTCAAATATACGCCCGTTTTTCATTTCCAGTGATTCAAAGGAGATATGTTTACTACTGCACCTGGCACAGCACTCTTCCAGAAGAGACAAAAATAAAATCATGTTTTCATTAATATTTTTTTCCTTTTTAAACACTTCTCTCCATTATTTATTGGTTCAGAGATGGTGATTCACTTTAGGATAACAGTATAAAACCAAAATATTTTTATCTTATTTTATGATTATTCTCTTTGGCTATAAATAACTCTCTAGCTATCAGGCCAACACTCTTGAGATTCCTCTTCTGCCTTTCCACTTCACTCTACAGCTGGATTGACTAAAATACAAGAAGAATAGTTACCTTTTCTGAGCTAAGAAGGTGCAATTCTTGCCTCTGTTCTAGGTGAATTTCACCCCAGGAGAACCAGCAGCTTAGTGCATATTTGTGATCAGGTCCTGAACTGCTTGTACAGTCATCTCTTCTATTAGTTTCTATTTAAGTAATGTGAGTTCAGTTAGATATTTGTGCATTTGCCAGGAT